TTTAATTTTTTAATTTTTAAATTTTTATTGTGATTTGGGTGAAAATTTACAGAGCAAATACACTTTCCATACAGCAGATCACATACACTTTGTCTCATGACATTGACTATGTTTATACATATTTCTAATCAAAGATATTGATTACACTGCATATGAATGAGACAAAGTACACTTGACTACCTCTTGTTGTTGTTGTTAGTTCTCATTGAGTGTGCTCCACCTCATGGTACCCAAAGCACAGTGTAACTCAATGATGCCCGGTCCTGCACCTTCCCATAATCAGCAGTAGATTAGACAGTGGTTCCTTGTCATCCACGAAGTTTCATTGGCTGATCTTTGGAAGTGGATCATCAGGTCTTTGTTCCTACTCTGTGTTAGTTCTGAAGGTCCACTGACACTTATCCAGCAGCACAGCCACCTGCTAACCTTCAGACAACAAATGGGCAGATGTGTAAGGGCTGTACATGAGGGGTGTTGGCTGATGGGCCCCAAGTCTCCTCCATGGACAGCAAGAATTCTCACATAAAAATACAAATACTTCCCTCGACTGTTCCTTCATGCCTTATAATTGGAACATTCTGTTTTCACTTAAAAGGAGAAGGATATTTTTATTGCATATTTTTTCTTCATAGGGAGCTGATATTTTACTCACTTTGTGTAGTTCTTATCTTAAGATCTCTTTGCTATTCTAACATTCTTCAGCCTTCTGTATGTAAAGTGAATGTGTGAAACAAAACACTTTCAGGGAACGAGTGATTGGAATTGGGACATATGACTACAGGTTTGAGGGGCACCAAGGTTCATTGGAATAGCATAGTGCACAAGGCAATGTATTACATCTTCTGGTGAGCAGCGACTTAGGTCTAAAAAGCTTGCAAGTGGCCATCTAAGATACAATATTGGTCTCTCCTCAACCAGAACAAAGAAGAGCAAAGAAAAACAGAGTCAAGGATACAATTAGACCAATGGACTAAGGGACCATGTGAACTACAGCCTCCACTACCCTAAGACCAGAAGAACTAGATGATGCTACTACCATTAACAACCTCTCTGATCAGGAACACAATAGAAGGTTCTTGACCAAAAGGGAAGAAAAAAAAAAGTATAACAAAATTGAAAATCAAAAAAAAAGAAAAGAAAGGAAGACCAGACTTACTGATCTAGTAGAGTCCCATGTAATGCCTGAAACTGTGGCCCTTAGCCACATTTCAATCCTGGAAATAAGCTCATCTCTGAGAATCAAATTTCAGCAAAAGAATGTTGTTGTTGTTGTTGTTGCCATGTGCTGTTGACTCGGACCCAACTCAGAGCGACATAAATAGAATAATAACACCAGAGCAGAATCTACTTCTCAGTACAATCAAACATATAAGACCACAAAGGCAGTATTGTCCTAAAAAGAACCCTCAGAAGGCAGGAAGGGCAGGAAATAAGGAGAAATGGAAACAAAGAACCAAGGAGGAAGTGTGATAGTGTTGTTTTATTGAGGGGATTGCAACCAATATCACAAAACAAAATGTGTATAAATTGTTGAATGGAAACTAAATTGTTTTGTAAACTTTCACCCAAACTACAATAAAAGGTAAAATAGACAAATAAAACGAGGGTGTACAGAAACAGGAGACTAACACAGACATCAAGAGGAAAGAGTTCTGAGAGAATGGATTTGGTCCAACAGAAATATTGTTTAAGGAACTAAGGTATAGGTCTTTAATTATGAACACTTAACTTTGAATTTTCGAATTCAAAATAGTCACTATTTGTTTCCTTTTAACAATCCTCTTTTATTTTTCCAAAATTTGTCTCAGGTTCATGGAGCCCCAGAATCGAACAGGTATCTCTGAATTCTTCCTCTTGGGCTTCTCTAAGGATCCAGGACTTCAGCCCCTCCTTTTTGGGATGTTTCTGACAACGTACTTGGTTAATGTCCTCAGGAATGCACTCATTATCTTGACCATTGGCTCTGACTCCCACCACCACACCCCCATGTACTTCTTCCTGTCCAACCTGTCTTTGGCTGACATTGGTCAGGAAGTTCATGCCTGAGTCTGTCTTCCTGCCAGTCCTGAGGAAGAAGCCTCAGCTATCATCACCCACCAAGAACAGGAGGGATGGTGGATTGGCACACTTTGGACATGCCCCAGCAGAGACCTCGTGTGATCCAGTGAGTACCATCAGTGACAGTGGACACAGAAAGTCTGTGGAGTACTGTTTCCTTCCTACCAGGAAAAGCAGCACACTTTGGATGACCAGCTAGGAGGCCCAGAAGTGCTGTTTCAGCTTGAAGGCCTGTGATTTCTGTACCTGATTCTGTTAAAGATCTGACAATGCTCATTCAGAGTTTTAATTTCTATCATATTGGTTCTAGTTCCTGTAGTTATTTCCTCAATAAAGCAGGAAATAGGTTTCTCTATCCTGTCCCCTGGGAGCTCTGGTGGTGTAGTGTCTAGGCATTTGACTGCTAACCAGAGGGTTGGTAGTAAAAAGCCACCAGTCACTCCTCCGAAGGAAGATTGGGTGATCTACTTCTGCAGAGATACCACCTCAGAAACCCAAGGAGGAGTTGCTAAGAGTAAGAATTGACTCGATGGCAGTGAGTTTGGTTTTTTTTTTTTTTTTTTTTGCATTCTGTTCTTGGCTGAGAGTAGGTTCAACCACAATGAGAACACCAACTCTGTGTTAAATATGGAGTAGACCCTTCCTCTTCTCCCAGGATCAGAGCATCAGCTGTGTGGCTTCTGCCCTGAGTGCTTTCCTGCCCGTGTTTCATTCCATTGGACTAGAGACAATGTAAACAGGGCAAGACTATGTCTGTACCATGGATTTTAAAGGAGACCTATTTAACAGAGTGGGAGCTCTGGTAGCATAGTGCCTAAGGCACTTGACTGCTCAACAGAAGACTGGCAGTTCAAACCCACCAGCCACTCCTCGGAAGGAAGATGAGGCAATTTACTTCTGTAGTGATACTGCCTCGGAAACTCAAGGAGGGGTCGCTATGCGTTGGGTCAGACTTGAAGGCACATAACAACAACAACAACATTTAACAGAGTATACAGCATACTTTTTTTTTTTTTTAATGTGGAGGTTTTTGTAAAAATGAAAACCAAAAAGAAAAAAAGAAAGGGAAAGTAAATCTTATGGTGTGAGTGTAGGCACATTTTAAGATTTCAATATGATCTATGCTCAGATCCCTGGTATATATTAGGCTTCTACCTTTCTTATATGTAGTGGCTGTTATGTGCCATCAAACTGGGACTGATTTCAACAATAAACCCACTACTTTCATACTAATTCAAATTCTGATTAAAGAAACAATACTCAAATATTTAGTGAATTCCAAACCTTGGCTAGCTTTTGCATGCATTGTACTTATGGATGTTATTCTCATGCTTCCAGTTAAGAGAAGTTGAGAGATTTATATGCATTCTGAAATCACTGTGTGAAAGGTAATGTGAATTGGACCTTGCTCTCCTGATTTCTGTTCCAGGGCTGTCTCCTCCACCAGAGGTGAATGATTGTGTTCCTTTTCAGATGAGCAACTGGAAACTAAGGTGTTGATTCTGACTCGTACAAGGTGGTGAGTTGATCTGTGAATCAGTGAAATGGGCTAAATGGTTGACAGGGAACTTAATAGCATGACTCCTGTGAATAGGTGGATTTTCTATGAAGAGTAATGCATTTTACTGCTTACTTAGGAAATCTGAGCTGTGGGAATATTATTCTCCACACAGGATCCAATTTTAATATGGGTCGATCATGGAATGACCATTACCAGACAACTTTCTGGGCTATCTGTGATCCCATACCTTGACAAAAAGAGCATGTAGTTGTGTCTGGCTTTCTATTGTTATACAAATGTTGACAATTAATAGTAATTTTGACATGGTTCAGTTTTACACCTTAAAAACTATCCTCCATAAACATATAGAAATTCTCCATTGGAGAATTTGGAACAAGAACTTTACTATGATGATCTTAATAAGGAACCGACAAACATAATGGTCCTTAACTCAGCAATAATATGCATCACTGAAAATGTGTGATATAGATACATGTACTTCCCACATAAATTCAGAACACACTGTTGCACTAAATGAAAACTTTTAGAGGCCATTATGTGTAGCATATGTCACTAGTATTCCAAATGCCAGCAGGGTCACCCATGGGGGACAGGTTACTGTGGAGCTTCCAGACTAAGACAGACTGGGAAGAAGGACAGGGCTTCTGCAAAAACTAGCCTCGGAAAACCTTATGAACAGCAATGAAATACTGTCTCATATATTACTGGAAAACTTTCTGAATAGTGGTGAAGCATTTTGGATGTCCTGCTGGAAGATGAGCCTCTTAGGTTGGAAGACACTCAAAATATGATTGGGGAAGAGCTGCCTCCTCAAAGCAGAGTCAACCTTAATGAGGTCGATGGAGTAAAGGTCAGGACCTTCATTTGCTGATGGGACATGACTGACTCAAAATGAGAAAAAACAGCTGCAAACATCCATAAATAAATGGAGCTTAGAATGTACAAAATATGAATCTAGGAAAATTGGAAATTGTTAAAAATGAAATGGCAGGCATAAAGACTGATATCTTAGGCATTGTTGTTGTTGTTGTTGTTAGGTTCTGTCGAGTCATTTCCAACTCATAGAGACCCCATGCAAAGCAGAATGAAACACCGCCCAATTCAGCACCAGCTCCATGATACTTGCTATATTAGGCATTAGTGAGCTGCAATGGACTGGTATTGCCATTTTGAATCAGACAATCCTTTGGTCTACTATGTTGGGAAAAACAAATCGAAGAGAAGTGACTTCACATTCATCATTAAGAATATTTCAAGTTCACTGTTGTCAGTCATAGGTAATATTGGTAAACCCACAAGGAAGGCAAGTTAATACTACTATTATTCAAACTTATGCACCAACTACTAAAGCAAATGATGAAGAAATTGAAGATTTTTACCGATATCTGCAGTCTGAAATTGACCAGGTATGTAATCAAAATGTACTGATAATTACTATTCATTAGAATGTGAAAATTGGAAATGAAGAAACACAAGCAGTTGGAAAATATGGCCTTGGTGATAGAAATAACACCAGAGGTTGCATGTATGACTATTGAACAAACAAGGACTTACTGATTGCAAATACCTCTTTTAAACCACAGAAAGTGCAGCTATACATGTTGACCTCTAAGACAGAATATGTAGGAATGAAATCAACTATATCCATGGAAAGAGACAATGGAGAAGGTCAGTAGCATCAGTTGGAATAAGGCCAGGGTGGACTTTGAAACAGATAACCAATGGCTTACATGCAAGTTTGAGTTGAAGCTGAATAAAATTAAAACCAGTACATGAGAGCCAAACTACACCTTTGAGTACATCCCACCTGAATTTAGAGACCATATGAAGACTAGATTTAACACATGGAACATCTGTGACCGAAGACCAGATGAGTTGTGGGATGACATCAAGGACATCATCCATGAAGAAAGTCTTTAAAAGGGCAGAAAAGAAAGAAAAAAAAACCAATATGGATGTCTGAAGAGACTTTGAAACTTGCCATTGAACAAAGAGTAGCTAAAGAAAATGGAAGTAATAATGAACTGATTTTTATTGTCTTCTAATGGAATTTCTTTTCTTTCTTTCCTTTTTTTTAAAAAAGGATATTTCTTATTACATGTATTTTCCTTATAGAGGTTTTGTTACCTTGCTCCTTCTATGGATTTTTAAAATGTCCCTGTCATTCCAATGTTCTTTAGCCAAGAGTCTCTAAAGTGAATGTGTACAGAAAAAGGTTATAGAGCAGAAAAATGAGGAAACAGTTTTGAGTAGTATAGTGACTGAGTTTGCTACAGCTGAGTGATATTACTGAAGGTTCTGAAGTATTAGATCCTCAGATGTTAACAGCTGTGAATTTGCAAGCTTTCTGTGTGAATTTGGGACACTCTGGTGGTGTAGTGACTAACACATTTCACTGCTAACCAGAAGGTTGGTGGTTCAAACCCCCCAGATGCTCCACAGAAGGAAGATGGGGCAATCAACTTCCATAAAGATTTACCACCTCAGAAACATGGGGGTTGCTATCAGTTGGAATTGACTTGAAGGCAGTGAGTTTAGAAGTGAGCTATGTGAGAATTTCATGAATTCAAAAAACAGACACAGTATATGGTGCCTGTTCTCTTGTTTCATTTTCTCTTTTCTTTTTCCAAAAGCTCTCTCAGGTACATGGAGCCACAGAATCTAACAGGCGTCTCAGAATTCCTCCTTCTAGGCTTTTCTGAGGATCTAGAACTGCAGCCTCTACTCTTTGGGCTGTTCTTGTCCATATACTTGATCACTGTGGTTGGGAACCTGCTCATCATCCTGGCTGTCAGCTCTGACCCCCACCTGCACACCCCCATGTACTGCTTCCTCTCCAACCTGTCCTTGGCTGACATTGGTTTCATAACCACCACAGTCCCCAAGATGCTCATGAACATCCGGGCACAGAACGAATCAATCACTTATGCCAACTGCCTCGCACAAGTGTACTTTTTCTATCTCTTTGGATGTCTGGACGATCTCTTACTCACTGTGATGGCTTATGACCGTCTTGTGGCCATCTGTTACCCTCTGCACTACACAGTCATCATGAACCCCCGCCTCTGTGGCTTGCTAGTTTTGGTATCATTTTTCATCAGCCTTTTGTACTCCCAGTTCCACCTTTCATTGGTGTCACAGATTACCTTTTGTACAGACGCTGAAATCCCTAGTTTCTTCTGTGACTCTTCCCAACTCTTTAACATTGCCTGTTCTGACACCTCCACCAATATCATCTTAGCATATTGTATCGGTGCCATCTTTGGCGGTGTCTCAGTCTCAGGGATCCTTTTCTCATATATGAGAATTGTTTCCTCAATTCTGAGAGTCTCATCTTCAGGTGGGAAGTATAAAGCTTTTTCTACCTGTGGATCTCACCTGTCAGTCATTTGCTTATTTTTTGGAACAGGC